TATTCATGTCATATATAGAAGTAAGTGTATATAAGGGAGCATTTCCAAAAATGGAAAGAGGTGAGCGGGGTGCTACTGCATTTGATTTATTACATAAGCAATATCTTAGCAAATAGAAAAGATAAGATGTTCTTATTTTATATTCTAGTTTGTCAATATTGGTAATTCTAATTCATAAGAAACTATAGACTTAGTATTTTGACTTCACAAACATTTAATTTGAACCAGTGCTGCATTCAACATACCATGTGGCACACAAAAATTGATGTTTATCTGTGTTTTTTTTATATTTACTTTTAAATTAAGAAATTGAGTAATGTATAGTTCTAAAATTATTAGAATTATAATATACAGTTTGATACCAAACTTATTGACATAAATTCATGAAATAGTAGTTCAATAAAATTTTGGATGCGAGTCAACAAACGAGATGATATGGCCTTTCACCTATGACCCGTCTTGAAAAGGTTAATATGGTGATAAACTTAATGCAATGAATTAAGATTAAATTGTATTGGAATATAACATGTTGAAGTGTACACACACCAGCACTAGAAATAGATTCATAGATATACAAATTTAGCTTGAGAGATTTCTTTAGTAGTTGAAATTAAGAAGAATTACAGCAAACTTATAACATAAACTATAAGCTAGTTTTCTTCGCAGTTAACATATCATTTTGAATTTTACTTGAGTATGACTGCAGATGAAATTATGTTACAGTATTATCAACTACTTAGAATTATTGTACCATTAGTCAGTTCTGTTTGTATAAATGTCTATGATGCTTGTTTATGTGAGGGTGTATTTTAGTTACACGAAACAGATTTGGTTCATTCAAATGAAGTTGTATATTTCTACTTAAGAATGTTTGAATTTCATATAACTTAAGTAAACATTAACTTTTATGCTTCAGACTTTTCATTGATTGAAGTAGTATACCTTGTTCATTGACTAACCTTCCACACATAGTTTAACAATTGATAATTATCTTGTTATTGAATTATAATTAAAGCAATAATATGAGGTAGAAACTTGTATGTCATCAGTTAGGAGGTTTAAGTAGATTAGTTTTTTTCCAAATACATTAATTGCAAAAGAAATACCACTGATTTCAGATTGCTACTTGATGTCAGAGTAGTTTTGTGATTTATTTGCAAGTCTGAAATTGACACAAGAAATATGAGATCACTGTATGATCTGTCATACAGTATCAGATTAATCCCTTGACTTTCTATGGAATGCAGGCCTCATCCCTTTCATAACAATGCAAGAAATGTTAGTAACCTTGATTTTAAATTTTAAAAAACTTTTATTTATAAGGTTATAAATACAGTATATGTTTTATTATTGTAAAAATTAAAATGACTAATCTCATTGAGGAGCTTAGGTATTTGCTTTGTTGAAATAACTGTGTAGTAAAAAAGTATATTTTAAATTAAATAATTTTAATATAATACTGGAAGTTTAAACTTAAACATATGATAAAATCTAAACTTGTTATATTTACAGGCTTTCTACAATAAAGACACAGTTCCTTCCTTATCTAACCTGTTCGTGGGCTTCACCAACTACTATTATAGCTGCTGTAAGTTTCCCTTTATACTACATTCTTCTTTATCTTTGTGAATATTTATAACTTAGAAGACAGAAAGTTTTTTGCTTTGTTTTCTCATTTATATTGCTTTTCAGACTCATTTGTTAAAACTAATTTTGTCCATTTCTTTGTAAATAGAAAATAAATACTACATGAGTAAATTTTGACTTTTTCAATTACAGTAAATTTCCATGTTGGTTTCAGACCAGTTATTTAAAAAAAATGTTTTTATTTTGTTAGGGCTACGACTGTTGTCCTATGTTATTTCGATGTGATGATCAAGGTCAATTGACATTTGTTGACAAGTTAGACAAGTCTCAAAAGAAAGAGATGGATGGATTTAGGTAGAGTTTTTGCTGCTTGTATATATACTAGTATATATGAACTTTAAGTATTGATTTTGGTTCTCCATAGATTACTGTTTTCTGCAGGCTAAATGATTCATAGGAATTTCCTGTGATATTCTATCATTGTTTATGTATTCAACCTTTTCTTGTTATTTGTATTCATGGCTTATTTTTGCATTTAGTGTGTTAAATTTTCATTATAGATTTTGGCTTGAGTTTTTGTAAGTTATTAGTTTTGGACATATTGAGCTTTTCATTAATCATATTTGTTATCACCTTCTCAATTAAACTTAGTTAAGTTTGTGCTATGTGAAAGCATAGCTCGACAAGTCTCTCAAATGTTTATAATAATAATTAAAAATATTGTAATCATATAATCACTTGTGATTTCATTAAAACCAATACAGTCCTTTCAATGTTTCAGTAATTAAACAAAACATGCTCAAAAGTATAAAACGTGACCACAATGAGGTGGGTTCAGGGTATGAAGGATATCATTATGCTTTTTTACAAAAATAACAGGCTATCTACTAATCAACCTGCAGTTCCTTGTCACCTGTGCAGTGCCAATCAATAGTAGCTGCTACTCTGAACCAGCCTAGCTATTAATGGTGTGTTAGCTCATAAGTGCATGGTGTGTGAGGAATAATCCTTATCCCTAATACTTTGGGATGGTTTCAAATTACTGTTACTAATGCAATAATACACTCCTTTCATATACACACAGTATTCGAAATAACTATGGAAGCAGTGAACAAAATACAAATGTTATGGGGACGTTCTCATCAGTTGAATGAAAATGAACTGTACCAGTGTACAGTCACATGTTGATAGTTTACACTGTGATTGGCTGTCATCCAACTAGTCACAGTTCCATGCAAACATAATGCCTCTAAAGGTAGAGGCAATAGTACTATGCTCAGCATTATTGTGGTAAATGCATCCATGACTCATAGGACAGAAATGCTTCATGACAAAATGTGTAAAAATCAATATTTGAACTAGTAAAGGATAATTCAAATGACAGATTGAAGCAAAATTTCATGTTTCAGTAGGAGCTATAAAAAACTGAAGGTGTGTGAAACTAGTACTGTTTATAATAAAAGTATTTAAGGTGGAAAGTCCAAACTCTTCAAAAGTAGTGATAAATAACTCAGTTTGCCCTTTACATGATATATGACAATACATTAGAGGTCTAGTGATCTAGTGGTAAGTACAGTTGTGAATGTTACCTTCAGAACATTAAGACATAGATTAAGCACAAAGTGGTCTCGGTATATGTTTAGCCACTAAACCCATTGCTTAGGAGAGAGAATCAGACCAAAGGGATGAAATGGGCATCAGACTTTAAACAGTTAGATAAGCAATGCTGGAGGAGGTTGCTATTTACAGATAAATTCAAATTGTTTGGCAACAATATTTGATAGTTTGTTTGATAGGAGAGAGGGTAATGTGGTAGACATACAACTTCCACAGTGAAGCATGTTGAAGTACCAGTAGTAAGAGTGACTGCATCTTAGCTAATAGTGGTAGATATCTACACAAAATTGATGGCACCATGACTGCTGAAAGATACAAGCAGTTTCTTAGCCATCATATCATTCCCTCAAGAACAACATTTGTTGGTTAGGAATTCATCTTCCAAGAACAGCAATGCCAAGCATACAGCAGATGTAGTATAGGGAAAAAGAGGTTAATGGAACACACACAACTGTGGCTTGGCCTGCACAAAGTCGTAGTATTAGGGCTTTATGGGTTTATATAAATTCTAAGGATAATTGGCAACCAAATAACTTTGCTGAATTATGAATAGTAATACAGGGCACTTGGTACAATATCTCATGGTCATAAATTGATAGACTTATCATAGCAAAAAAAATAAACTGTACTACTCTGTTTAAGTTTACGGGAGTGTAATCATGTAGCCTCTCGCGTAACTAAAAAAACAACATGAGTATAAAAAATATTTTTTTCAAATTTATAGGTTTCATAATCCCTAGAACCTCCAAAGTGAATATCAAAAGCTCTTTTTAATTTAAGTTAATTATTTATATATATTTTTTTTCACTTTTTCTATGATATTACTAACTGTAGCTATTATCCTATATTAAGACAGGAAAAATGTACATACCATTTAACATTTGGTGAAATATTCTTAAAACATCTTTTTTTTTTTGCATGCCTTTATATTTTCACATATAATATATTTTAATAATTTATTATCCTTTCCTGTCTTTTAGCACTGTTATTTACCTAAACACAATGTAACTGTCTGTCTAACTAACATATTTCTAGGTGAGAAGTAATGCTAAAGTAGTGAGGACAAAGAAGCAACAATACTAAGAGCAGTTTGACCAGTTCACTCAGTAATTCTTTGCACCAATTTTAGAATACCAGTTAAGAGAACATACTTAATTGGCTGAGAAATCGCAACTCAATGGTAGAAAGTGGGCGTGGCATCTGTCTAGAGTTCAGAGAAACTTATTTTTCCTTTCTTTGAATGTGCCCTATGGAACTTGAAAGAAGAATGTGTACACAGGGCAATTAACCTGGATTCTTTCTATATATGGAAGGCTAGCGTGAGTCAAAAACTGTTCAAACTACAAAAACACAAATTTAACATTTTGTGAACTTGTAGATCACTAGAGAATAAAACAAAACGTTAAGAATTTTCATTAAGGTTTCTTTTGAAATAAAGGAACTAAAACTTTGAACTATAATGAAACGTTTAAGATTGATTTTATTGACAAACATTGATCATAAAAATAGTTTAATAAAATTATAAATGTAACTAAGTAAAATCTGTGATGTGCAGAAAAGGGTCACTGTAAGGAGTTGATACAAACTTGCATATGAAGTTTCAAATTTTAAGTAAAAATATAATTCTAACTCTTATTTCTACAAATTTTTACCAAAAGATGTTTTAGAATTGATGTCATTATACAACATTTTTTAATGTAATGAAAAATGAGAAGGTTCCATCTTTCATTTATATGCAGCTCCAAGGAGTCTCGCTTGTAAACAGTGTATTTATGGATTTTTTTTTTTTTCTACCAACACCAAATATAGGTTTGTATTGCTAAGAAACTATCATGATTTATGTTCATGTTATTTTCCTTCTCTGTCAGTGGTTGTATCACTACAGTCCTGTATTGTTACCCCTGTTATGATGTCACACCATATGACTTGAATAATTACTAATGAAGTTCATCTTTCAAAATGGCTAGAGCCAATGAATGAAAATGACTGGGTAAAAACAGATACTAATCTGTCTCTATCAATATAGAGTAAACTAAGTAGTGTAGCAATAATGTGTGATTTCTCAAAATTTTAGTTACCCATAGCTCCAGGGGTGAACAGAGAATTCTTGTGCAACGTATACACCACTTAAGAACAAACTGCAGATCTAGAAATTGCTGTATAAGTTCTTGAATTGCTTTCATGTTGGATTATATCTGTTTGAAAATGAAAACCACAGGAATTTTTGTTTTCTATGACAAGATATCATGTAATTTTAGTTAGGTTTAGTGAGTATGGTAAGTGATGGCAAACTATTCAGGACTCAGTTCATTTCTTGGGAAAATTATTGTATTTAGACAACACATGCAAATAAAAATTTATTATAAAACTATATTTATTAGATACAATTTTATCTCAACCAAACATATCGGCAAAAATCACAATACTTAGCCTGATGCCATTTTGATATATGAAGTCATAGGTCACCTATAAATCTTTGTTACTTTTTGAGTTGTTTTGTACAACTGTTGTGACTTTCCAGTTGGTAAAATAAAGTATCAAAAGAAAGGTATTAATGAGTATAAAATAGGTTGGAATTTCCTTTTAATAACATAAAAAAATATAAGATTAAAGGAAGTATTTTTAATGGTATCTCACAACAAAATTTTTGAAATTTCTCAACCTAAAAATTGACAGTAATACTAAGTAAAATTATATTAATTTTTAAAGCAGAAACTAGATTTATTTTTAAAGTTTTTTACAAAGTTTTGTGTAATTTGGTTAAGTATTTTTAGATAGGGTTAAAGCAAATACAGAAGACTATTGCATTGCACTATATGTTGGAATAATGTATTGTGCTAATGATAACTGAACCATTTACTTACAATTACTCACTATTTGTGACTCCTATCACCTATGCATTTCCATAATTATTTCCTATAATGTGTATATATAATATACGCAATTAAAATTGTTCAAAGCTTGCTTCATAATTTCTAACCTTATCTGTTTTCTAATCTGTTGCTCAAAATTTAATTTTCATTTGTAAATTCATCTAAATGAAGATCTTTTCTAAAGTGTATTTCAAGTTTGCTGAAATCAACTTTGTTCCCTTATAATATCAAGTATCTTATCTCATTTTTTCACAGTGCCATGAGAAAATTCCGGAATATGGATATGCGTGCTATGAAGGATAATAATGTTGGAGACACTCTCTTGGACAGTGTCCATCAAAATGCTGTAACACACATGACTGTTTATGCCGGGACCAAGATAGGGATTACAAAATTCTGCACTACTGGTATGGATGGTAAAATGGTCATTTGGGATGTAAAGGTTTGTACTATGACACATTACACATGAAGATTTAATAATTCTGTATTCTAATAGATGATTTATTTTTTTCTCTAAGAGAAAATAAATAATTTCAACTGGTTTTGTTGAGACATTTTTTGAAAGATTTTTCAGTAATGAATGCAATTTTTCAGGTTTAAAGAAAGGGAAAGTTGTGGCATGCATTTATTATTTTTTCATCATAGTGGTCCCGTGTAAAAGAGGTTTTTGAACTATTTATATTATTCATGTGAAAGAAATAACCTTTTTAGTGCAAATACGAATTTCATACTTTTTCTAACCATTCATGTCAGTTACATGGAAAGTAATGCAAACTTTCAAGGAAAGCAACCTTTGAAAAACTGCTAATAAGGGACAATATAATTTAAGGCATGGTATGGTCTAGTGGTTAGAGCACATGACTTGAAATTTGTGGGTCACAAATTCAACAACCCTGCCACTTAATATGCTTCCCTTTCAGCTGTTGGGGCATTATAATTTAATGGTCAATCCCACTGTTCACTGGTAAAAGGAGTAACCCAAGAGTTGGTGAAGGGCAGTGTTGACTAGCTGCCTTCCCTCTAGTCTATCACTTCAAAATTAGGGATGGCTGGTGCAAATAGCCTTCTAGTAGCTTTGCATAAAATTCAATAAAACCAATCTAAGAACTTATTCATCCAAAATAATATTTCTAAAGCACATTTATTCCAAATTGCTATATTGGCAGTATTGAATAGCTATTCTTTCCCTTACATATGAACTCTGTAGGGAAGTGATTGAATGGATGTTTTAAGGTTGTACAGAAAAGGAAGTAAAGTTATGATTGGAAACTAATAAGTTTTAGCAATCATCTTAAACCTTTTATGTTTTATAAAGAAAATAGCCTTATCTCAAGATAAAACAAAAAATCCTGTCATTTCCACTTTACACATTCTTTAACTTTTGTAGTTGCTGGCAAGGCTCTACCTACCTTATCAAGAGCTATAGGCCCTTGGTCAAGGTGTAAAAACCCAAATCATAGGAATTGGGTATTTTTTTCCCTATTTTTAACTAAAGATAATTTAATTACAAAGTGTTTAATCAACTCAGTCTACATTATACTCTTTGAAAAGGATTGTGTGTATGTTTACAGGAAATTTGGCCAAAGACAAGTGAATGAATTAAGGAAGAAAATTTGGTGTATTATTTTTAGGAATATCAGTTAATGTAAATTAAGCCAAAAATTGTTTAGAAATAAAAAATATTTTCACAGAAAGTGACTTTTCAGTAATTATCCTCTTGCTAACTAATTGCTCAAAGGTTTCTGATAAAATTGCTACTATGAAATTTGATAGTGAATGTATATATTAAATAATAATAATATACTGATAGCTGCTTCTTTATGGGAATTAAAATCGTAATAACATCACCATCATCTACATTACAAGCTAGTTGTAAATGGAACTTATAAAACGTGCAGTGACAAGCAGTAATAAATATTTAATTCTAAATTTCAAATGTTCAAAATAAATTACAAACTCTGCAGACCCATACTCTGGTTACTAGCCAGCATGTGGTGTTTGGTTAGGTCTGAAAGTACCTATTCCGTTGTATTATTTCTGGTGAATGTAACAAATTAGATATGTAAAACTTATTTCCATTTTGTTCCTTTTTCTTTTCTAGTCATTAGAAGCAGCGTTATCTGACTTAAGGATTGTGTGAAACAAAAAGGTGGTCCTTATGCAGGGTGAAGACATTTCTCCAAACCCGATCATCGGCACTTCTGCTCGCCCTTCCTTTGGTGCTGCCTCTTGGAAGTTGCTGCAGGTTTCTTGTATATTCAAAAACTTAAATTTATGCTGATTTGATACAGAGACAAAAAATTTAGATGTAAATGTTTAAATCATTAAAGATTGTTCATAAATCAAGTGAAAAGGATAGAAATGAAAGTTGGCTTTAAATTTAAAAAAAAATTATAATTACGAATTCTTAAACTGCACAGAATTCAAAGAGGATATCTGTGTTTGGATTTGTATTTAGTGTAGTAAATTGTAAGAAATATATTGTACCATTGTCAAAACCAATTAGTTGGACAGGCTTCCATTTTTTCACTTGTTCCTTCTGGTTCAAAATTTACATGTATTTATGGCTATTCAATGAACTCATGTTGGTTAATTCATTCACTTGTGCCTTTGCAATGGTTTAGCCCAAGTTTTTTTGTGTCTCGTAAAATGGAGCATTCCCTAAGTGCCAACTACAAGTTTCTTTTTTTTTGAATGGATGTAGGGATTTGAAATTTGTGGAAAAGGTGATGGCATCATATATATATTTACATTTATTTATAGCACGAGTAATGGTTTTGTCTCCCTTTGTCCTACACATTATTTACATTCTCACTATCTGGAAACTACAATGTAAAAGTATACAATCAAGTGGGAAACCAACTATGGACAGATAAAATATGAGCTATTAGGATTAATATAAATAATTGTTTTAGTTCCAGCCCCCCAACATTGTTCCATCTTTTAAAATAAGGGCTGAACTTGAGTGAAATATCTCTTGTGGATATTTTTCAAACATTTGTTTTCCACTTCCTATCTAACAATTAAGGATAACTTGTAACTGGGAATTTTCATATGTCTCAGCTACAGGTAAGTACTGAATTTCACGTTTAAAATGAAGAGCAAGAAATTTTATTACTGTTTACAGGCTGTTATGGCTACTACAAGCTCTTTGAGCAATTATACAGGTTTGCTTTAAGTATAATTTATACTATCCTTGATCAAATAGTGAAGAAAACCACGATAGTGCTAAGTTCATTATTTTGGTTTTGTTTAAAGTAATGGTGCTTGAAAGTAAATAATAATGATATGAACGCTCTGAAAACTCAAAATGCAGTTAAACCAACTACTTGTAAGTTTCATTTGACGGTAAATTATTCCCAGTTAGAAAACTTTTCATTAGGATATCCGACAACACCTAAATTACAAAACAAAATTTTCTAGTTTTTCCTTTTAACTGTTGTATCAGTATAATACAAGCTCTGTAACACAAGCCAGCACCGTACAATTACAGAAGTAAATTCATTTCAACAGATATCTTCTAGTTGAGAGTTAAGTAGCAGATGATTAACAGAACAGTTGTTTACTTAGCCATACTACTTAATGCTGCTTGATTTGTATAAATATTGGAACTAGTTATTTTCTTAATCTCCTAGCTATGAGTCAACTTTAACAAAGCAAAATATTACCCATTTTCCATCAGCACTTGTTACTATGGGTGCAAGATAATGAAAAATAGGAGCTGCAAAAGAATAGTTACTTTTTTTTCAATGTAGACTTTTCAATTTGATATATACATGATATCTGATGAAAAGGAAATGACCCTGAAGAGGCAGTGTTAAAGAATGCTCCATTTTACAGACAGTTATGCAATTGTCAGTGCTCACCCTAGCTGTTTCATTGTGAGGTTTACAATTTATTGTTAGCAACATCTTTAATATGCTTAGTGAAATAGTAATTTACTTGAAAGCCAAGTTCACTACTAATGCAGAAAAATGGGGAAAAAAGAATCATAAAGTAGAAACTTTTGAGATATCAAAGCATATTAAGATTCAAATGAAGAAACATGATTGAAAGTTGCGTTTTTATGTTTATAGGAGTTAAGATAGTGTAATTTTTCTGTCAGTTTAAAGTAATAGAAATTTTTATTAACACATGATCATCTTCATATCATGGTAATAGTAAAATAGGTATCAATTATGCAGTGAAAAATCAATAATTCACTTTCTGTTACCTCAGTTTTACCACTGCTCTTTACAATTGAATATTTAGCTGTGAAGTACAGATATACAGAATAACAATGGACTAATGAATAAAATTCATTTCAATGGCTTACTTTATGGGAGTGTGTTTTAAATCACTCTTGTTAGTTGTTCCAAACAATAGCTGTGATAGACTTTTCAAAGAATACTAATTATTCAATGTGAAGGTTATAATCGTATGTCGTGATATCATAGTAATTAATAAGGAACAAGAAAAGTGTATTTCATCCACAGCAGTTCTTCAACCCTGTTTCTTAAACTTTTTACTTGTACTACTAACAAGACTGAGCAACATTATTGACTGTTACATCTACTTGATATTTGGTACCAACTGTAGTAAAGCTATGAGAAAGAAATTGTTTAACTTGGTTTACTACATACTTTAACAGCTTAACATGGTGGAAAACCAAGTTTTAGTGTGTTTTGAATGCCTGTTATGCAGCTACAAGAGAAAAAAAAAAGTGTGGTTTGTTATATCACCCTTAAGACACTATTTAATTTGAAATTTTGTTAAGATGAGGGCTATCTGTAAGCCTGTCAACCTGTTATAATTGTTGTATGAATTATTAGGATTAATTTTAGGGAATAATTAAATTGTTACAGTTAGTTGTTCAAAATTTTAATTCAGTGTCAGACGTCCTATTTTACAGCAGTACATGAAAAAATTAACTGAAATGATTTGTCTTCATGATGGTCATTAACTATTACTTAGATTCACATAGTGTAAACAGCATGTTCTTAAGATCTCTATCTTTTACTATATCTTGATTCTTGTTCATTAATTAAAGTAGTAAATTTACAAATAAAAAGAAAAACCGACAAAGGAATGGCTTTAGAAAATAGAGAACTTGCATTATTTCATTAAAATTGTTAATAATGTAAATTCTTTCTAAAACACAAGGGCTTTAGGTAACAAACTTGCAAATCAAATAAATTTTGATTAACTCTAGATATGTGTTGATCTCTCTCTTTTCAAGTATGTTGGGGAATTAGTTGGATTTTTTTACATTTTGGGTAGTATAAGGAGCTTCATCTGTTTGATGTGGTAGCACAAATTTTTCTCAGTGTAGGAGGATTCAGAAATGGTGAAATAATGAACATCCAACAATTATAGAATCCTGGAAATGGATAGAAATGCAAGCTGCTCTTAGAATAGTTTGACAACAAGAGCAACAACTTAAAAACTTGTGCATTCCACAATTTAACACCTTTCTAAATTTATGCTACTAATCCTGAAGAAGCTTGTTATACTATCCAAAATTATCATCACTCAGCCACCTTCAACATCTTTTCAATGGTTTTTACTTTTCTACTTAAAAGATAAGTACATGTCTTGCCCATGAACACTTCAATTTAAGTGTTATCTCCTGTATGTGTATATTAAAAATTCAGCACAGACTTCAGGTAAGTTTTTTAATAACCACAGAAGATGAAGAAAGAAACTGAACATTTATTTATTCGTTAGCATATGTAAATATTTCCATTTAATCGTGAAATATCTGGCTAACACTGAACCTCCTACGTTTATTTTAACAGCTTACATTTACAATCTTTTTGTTGTTTTTCTTCTGTATTTTCAAAATATGATCTACAAAATTCAATTATGTACTGCTTGCAAGCATTAACTTTTCTGCCATTTTTGACAGGTACGAACTCAGAAAGACTGAAACATGCCCTGTAAATTCTTTACTAGGAGTTTTGGGCTTCAGTTCAACTTCAATGGATAATATTCCATTTTTATTAAGTTCTTTTGTCCGGCAAATGAATTCAAATAGTGGTTTCTCTGGTTGTTGGGAGCTTTTACTAATGATGTTTTCTGATATATATTGTTCTATTTCAAGAGGATCATTAGGTTTCTTGGCAACAAAGCCAGCCTTGTATTTTTTCCGTCCTGACCAAGTACGATAAAACACTTTACAGAAGATTTTCAAAAGGGTCCTAGAACCAGTTGAATGCTTATCTCTTGATGTTGATGGTTGGGACTCTGCAACTGCAGAACTTGATTCCATTTCTTCTAGGTTATCAACCTCTTTGTCACTGTCATCTTCATTCCAGTCTTTATCTGTATCATGGTTAACTTGTAAACCAAAAATCAGTTCCTCAAACTGGTCCCACTCTGTTGGATTTTCAGGATCATAGAGTATATTTCTATTTTCCTTAGATACCCTGTTTTCTGTTTCCTCATATAATTCCTCCTCTTGGTTTACACACAACCGTTTGGAGCAAGTCTCTTCACTTTCAGGGGTCAACTGTTTTCTTTTTCCTTGATTATTTGATAGTCTAACAACCTTCTGTGTACACTCATCGTCTTTCTTTTTCATCCAGCGTCGTCTCATGTGGTCACGAACCTTACATTCAAACATCATACCTCGTTGGAGGATGTCTAAAATAATGTAAGATGTTTTGTACATCCACAACCTTTCCATGTTCCACTCTGAAACATTTTGTGACAGCAAACCAAAACAGAAATTCAAGAACTGGGTTTGGAATTCAATTGTGAACTTTTCAGCAGCAACTTTAGTTTCAGGAATTAAGTCTTGCTTTTGCTCTGGCACAGGAGGCTTTGGTTGTGTATGCAGGTGTTTCTTGGGATCCAAAAGTGCCAGAATTCCCCAGGATTTGGGAGCACCCTTACATTCGCCAGTATAACAGGGGGAATCACACAACAGTTGTGCCTCATGAAAACTAGCCAAAAGTGATTCTAAAGCTTCATCCGAAACTGATGCTGTAATATTACGGTTCAAGTCAAAGGAATCTTGAATTGAGAGTGGAGTTATCTAAAAAAAAAATCATAACTGTTACACAAAAAACTTTTTTCTTTCCTTTAATTAAACACCATCAAAAGTGCATAGTAATAAACTGGAAATTTTCCTCGACATGTATAAAAAAATAATTTAATTATGTGCAAATATTTAGTCCTCAGAACTTTCCCTGTAAACATTTAAAACTTTTACAAGTTTATTATCTCAAGTTTTCTTAAGATATACAAATCAATGGAAGATTAAAAAAATTTAACCTTAATATTTTCATATACTTCCTATATGTTTGGTGTAGTTTACTTTATATACCCACATATTTAATTACAAGAGAGCTTTAGATATATCTAGCTTTGCAACTGATTTATGCTTTCATTTTTTAAGGATTTTTCTTCAAAATAAATACATCATTTGATTCAGGGCAGAAAATGCCTTAATTTATGACTAGATGAGAATTTCACTGGATAGCAGCTTGTACAAGTTGACAGAACTTAGTTGTGAAGAGGTGATATTAGTTTCAAAAATCATGTTCTCATATTATAGCCATTCTTATGTCACATACAATAGCAAACATGTTTTATTTATAAAAAAAAAATGTGTTTAATGAAATAGGCAAGTTAGATTATCAAGTACTTTCACAGCAAAAAAGTGTCAAGTTTGTGATTAAATAAAAACCAACAAGTATCTCATTGACAAACATTTTCATTACATAGACCTCAAAAAATACTTGATATATAAAGTTTTGTTGCATAACGGTTTTTATGTTCCAACAATACTAGCCTATCTTATATGTTTGTATGCCTTTTACTTAACACAATTTTACAACTCATCAGGGAAAATTTATTTTACTTTCTTACCAGTTTCATAACCACTGAAGTTAGGGTAACAAAATGTTAAAAGTTCTCCTATTTAATGTCAGTAGATGAAAATTGATTCAAGAAACAAAAACTAAACCTTCCAAAAAATACTATCAACACTTCTTAAAGCTTAACTGCATTTCAAAATCAAAGTTTGTGATACAAAGCTCACATAATAGTAATTTATGAACACAAACAACTATGGTTTCTTATCTTTAAGAAAGAAAAAATTAACATTACGTATGACATAGTGCATACTAAACCATATGTTTTGCCTACAGCTGTAAAACCTGTATGTCATATTTTCTAGTTTTAAAAGACAATTTATATGAAAGCTTTAGAAAAATTACCTAATATACATAAATGCACAAAACCCCTGTGACCTTCATCTTAAGTAAAATACAAGCTCTTTTGTCTAGGGTATAATATTTTTTCCAAAATCATAGAAGCAGTGATATAAAGTACATTATCTTCAATAATATGGCTGCACATATTCTTAAATAACACTACTTTCAAGTGTCATTATTTTTCCAAGTCTAGATGATGATCATATATATGTACATATATAAAATTGTATCATCATCTTTAAATATTAGTCTTCCATACTGTAAAAAGTAACACAGTATTCAGCTTGATATTTAAAGAATTTCCACTGAACACAATTTTTTCTGACCCCAAAATTTAGCAAGCTTGATTTCTGACTAGCATTTTTTTTTTACTGTAAAAATTCTTGCATCACTGAAAAAAACAGTTTCAACAGAATATTAATATTTTGTGATTCTTAAAACTTGGTAACTCTGATCAAACAGGATTTTTTTTTACATTTATCTTAGCTTCACAGATGGTTTATATGCATTTGTTTTACATATTATTTTTATTAACCTGGTAGAGAAACTAGTCAATGATTTTTGAAAATATTGCTCCAACACGTATCATTGTCTTGTTTGGAGAAACTTTTACCCATAATATCAATTAATGCTTAACCCTATCCTTCAAGTAGGTCAGAGTATGCATGTCACAACTTTTTAGATATATTCAAATCTTAAACTACTTTATTATAAATGTATACAAATTAGCTTGGCATCAAAACATAGTTAATAATCAAATTTTAATATTATGCGAGATTTAAGTTATTAATTTTTATAAGGAAATATTTTTAAAAATTCTTAATCACCCCTAGTATGAAAACTGTGACATTTGTTCTTTAGGCCTTCCCTGTTCTCTAATTTATTTACCACCCTTCTAAGATATGTGGAAGTTAACTAATTCTCTCATTATAATATAGATATTACTAAGTCAGTCTTATTAGCTTTCAATTTTATTTGTTTAAGGAGTCATAAAGTACAAAATCAGACCTACTTGCCACATCTTCTCTCTCACAAATTGCCAATAGTTTTCTGGGTTTTATACTATATTATTTATAACCAGAGGTTTAATCTATCAAGTAATGTATTACATTATAATGTTTTTGTACAGAGAGTATTGTCTTTTGTGTCTCCAGTTTGAAAGTTTTTCTCAGTATTCAGATCAACAAGCTTAGGGGTAAAGATTTAAAGGCTCTTATGCCACAGACAGAAAGCCAGGTAAATTATGATAGTTATAGGACATTGTTTGCTTTGTACATGTTATTATTCTGTGTTCTTAGGTCCATTATTTAAGTAAATAAAATTATTTAGTGTATCTAGTACTATTAGCATAAAAATGTAGGCTTAAATGATATCAGCAACTGACAGCAAAAAAAAAAAAAAAAAGTCAAAGGTAAGTACTATACTTCTTGTTTTTCATGCATACTTTTTATTTATTGTTATAAAAGAAACTAAAATAAAAAAAATCAGAAACTTGTTAAGTTAGGTTAGATAATATACCCAAAAAAAATAATACAAATTCTTCATATGGTATGCTACAGAGCAGTTCATACATTATATCATTCAATATAGTAAAGTGGACTATGGGTGGTTCTCTTAGTGATTTACAACTTTTGACATGGGTCAAAATTAAGTATAAACAATTTTTATTGTTCCAAGCTTTCAGCTATCTAGGGTTGTAGTTTCCTATTACAGTTGTAGAAAGAAAAAAGGGCAATTTAGATTTATTTTGTTTTGTTTTTTATGATAGTTATAAATTCGATCAAACAAACCGACTGAATGCATATAGAGTTAGAGTAGAGAAAATGTAAAGATTTACTGGAAAAAAAAACGTTTGATATTTATTTAGGATGTTTGAGAGAACATGCAAATGAAATAAGTACTTTTAATTTCAAGAAAATCACTTAGCACTCAGGGCAGTCAACACTCTGACTTCATACATTCACAAAGTTTTAGCAAATATTAAAAAATATGAATTTTTGTATACAAAAGACTTGTACTGTTTACTGAAAGTTTGCCAAATTTCATGAAGATACACATATCATATTACAAGTTATAGTATGGAAACTAAATGTTCCTTTGGGCCACAATAATCCACTGAGCCCATAGCTAGCTAGAGAGTAAATCTAGTTGATCATAACTTTGAATGAAATCTACACAATCAACAGCTCTACATCTTTAGATGGTCTCAACAACTAGGTTAATTCATCTTCAGCTTCTACTACATTACTACTGTAAAATTCAAAATATGAACTATGCAACTAGCCCACTATAATAAAAAAGTTTCAGACATATAAAAAAAAAATCAAAATACTTTCCAATCTCATAAGTGACTTATTTTTGTAAGGGGCAAAAATAAAAGTATAGCAGAGAGACCAAGAAGTTGTACAAATAATCTATTAGTAATAAGTTCATATTAACTAATCTTTCAATTCATCTAAAGTTTATTACAAATTGAGACAGATACAAATAAATGTACATGAATTCATAGTACTTAATTCATCAACTCACCCTGAAGTGAGCCAAATATGGAAACGTATGGAAAAATTCATGTTTTTTAATAACTTGGCCAAACCTTGGACATATTACCCATTGTCTGAAGTTAAAGGAACTGTAGAAGCTAAAAAAGTCCTTCAGTAGCTCATCTAAAATAAACATTCCAGAATTTGTTCCTTTAGTTTCGAATAAAATCTGAAATAACAGTGACTGACATATACATATGTATGCAGGTTGATTAACACACAGAAATACAGCAAGAATTATTATTTATGTCTTCATAGTTTTTATTATGGAAAAATCTAGACCTATTTTACAGTGCAGCAACCTTTAAATTACATTTACTGAAACAAAATCACCCAGTTGGTGAGTTACTCAATATATATGAGAGACACTATGTAAATTCAATATAATTCCCCCTTCATAACAGCGAGAGGAGATATTGAAACGTATCACATTTTTCAAGTTACACTGATATTGGTTCAAGTAATATACTTGAAATTTACATTTTGAGAAAAAAAACATTAAATGCAAGATGATAAAATGTAGAAGTAATTTCTACAAAATGTAAAAATACCCTTGAATATGCTATAAAGAAACCGCTTTTAATTCAAGTCTTGATTCATTTCTGTTCAAATGACATAGCAATAAAATAATTCCATGCAGGAGGAAAGTGAACTTACAAGCAGTACATCCAAGTCAATTAGGGGTGTACAGGACACAGGGTAAAAATTATTAACCCAATTACATATTATCTAGTGGTATATTCTCTTTGTTTAATAGACATTTCAAAATGCTGAATTAGCTTAATCGTATCTCTCCAATTCCAAAGATCTTCAGAAGTGTGTATGGATAGTGAGCAATCAACGTTTATTTCTACCCTAACAAAGTGTATCCTGTTCAGTTAAAGTCATTGGTTATATAAACCAATTAAAGCATGGTGATTTATTGCACATGATAATATTTCATAAACAAGCAATAAAGTCAAATGTATGAAGCAAGACAAGTTAAAATGCTGTTAAATTCTTAAGTGCTTAGAAGACAGTTTAACATCCAACCTAAATTTATCTTTAAAATATAAAAAATAGATGTTTGGTTGTCAATTAGAAATTTTCATGAAAACGTTATTCTTTAATTTTTAGATCAATATGGTGACCATCTTGCATTGTAACATATTTTTTGTTCTACACTAATAATGATCAAAACGTTAATACCATGGTTATAAAAAAAAGCATTTACTGGAACTTCCACAAGTTAAATAGAATGTACTAAAATTTTAAAAATGTCAGGCCTGAACTTTTACAAATGAACTTCTAACTCAACAATATAATGTTGACAGAAAAAAATTAGAAAGAAAATACATAATTTCATAAATTATCACAAATTCATTGCAGAGACAATTGACAAAACATGTGATCAACTTATTTACACATTGAGATATTGATATCATGACAAACACCTTAGCACCATCCACATGTCAGTCACTATGAAAATAATGTTAAAATTAATTTTAATGGGGAGTGAGCTGGCATCATACACAGATAAACTTGGGTAACAGGTCTACCAAATGACAGGGGAAAAAAGGTAGTAAAATAAAACAATAATAATTAACAAAAATGAAGAAATACAATACCACATCACACACTTTTGTCTGAAGAAGTGATGAATTTAATCACTTCATGCACAAGTTCCAATTTTCCTATATATTGTACTTCATCATCCAAACCATCACAAAACGTATGGTGTTATCATGATAACTGTACAATAATCAGATCTGGTTTAGAAAAAGTTCTGATACTGATTCAGCTTACAAGAACAACAGCAAAAGTCATACACATTTCTCTTCCAACATCATTAGAGGCTTCAGTTCACTATCTACTCACACAGAGAAGACTAATCACAGGTAATTTATTACATCAGAATGCTTGTCGTGTACTTAAAAAAAATTCTGCTTTAAGAGCTTTTTTCTAGCTAACCTAACAAGTAATTAAAATCAAGTTCCCAATATGCAAGTTTCATTGCTTTTCTCAATTTAAAACAGGACCCATGAAAAGATTAACAAGTTTATAAATTTCTAAACTGTTAGTACTGTACAAGTAATGAAATATTTCACATTTTTTATATGTTCAATTATAAATGAACTTAAAATAACAAAAGTTGTCTGGTACAAAATACAAACAGAAATTATGTAGGCAAATAATGTACATAAGTCAAGAAACTACACTGTAATTATTTTTATTCAAATTAAAATTAATACCGTTTCAATTTATATTGAAATAGCAAAGATACTGTATACAAACATATTAAATTGCACAACACAGTCTAATTTTCAGAATTATCTTGCCAAGTAATAAGAAAATAAAGGATCACATCATGAACTAATGACAAACACACACTATCATTGCAAACACATTATATAAATTCCAACTTCTGTGCAGTCAGCAACACATTCAAGTACATAATTATCATTGGTCTACTTATTAAGGTTAGCAAGAAGTTGATTCTCTTAGATATTTTATAAAAACAAATGCATATTATTCAACAACAATTATTAAAAGAGTAGCCTATTGGTAATCAATAAATATAGCATAGTTCAACTGTCCTGACACTTATGATACAGACACAAACTACTAATTTTATATTTATTAATGTAAACATACAAAATTAATATGTACCTGCAGGCAATAAGTTTGCTGAAGGGCAGATCTTTGATGGCTCATCACAAAATGTGCTGTCAATGCCATCCACTTCCCGCACTTCATCTACAAAAAGTTGAATACAACCCCACAAGATGAGAAACACAACTTAAAAGTTATTTGTGCTAATACCAAAAAAAACTACAAAAATGTTACTTTTCATGTTCAAACTATTGAAAGAGAAACAAAATGTTGGATGCAACTATTTACATACAAATAACAGTAATAAAACTAGTAACATAAACTTATATGTGCTTACTGTGGGTTAGTTATTTATGTTCATTAAAAGTTTGGTTCTGATTACAGAATGAACAAGTGAGAAACATCTTATGTGTTTTTAACTGTCATTGTGATGCAGAAATAGTCACCTTAGTGACACCAGCTATGAATTATGTTAAATTGTTACAAATATTTTACATACAGACAGTCATTTCTAATTATGAACTGACAGACTAGAGGGAAGGCAACAGCACCCACAACCACCAACTCTTGGATTAACTCTTATTTGATCGATTAGTAGGATTTGACCATTACCCTTATGTTGCACCCATGGCCCAAAGTGTGGAGCACATGTTAAGTAATCTAGAAAAGGTAATGCAGTGAAGGCTAATATATTTTTTACATGTTTGCTTGAATATTAATGAAGTAACGGACATTGGTTATCAATGATACTTTTCTAATGAAATTGATCAGAACTAACTTAATTTGAAACTTTTTGCTTACAACTTCATCCCACAGAAAGTCATAACACTTAAGTGTTTTTAAACACTTTTTTTTTCAATTGAAATTAACATTACATCTGGCTCTCTTTTTTTTCTTATGTAAATAACTAAAACTAACTTTAGATAAAGAAGAACTAACCAAACATATAAATAAGTTGGCTGTTTCACATAAAAGAGTGATTATGTACTAGAAACTGAAAAGCTAAAAAGATTAAACTTTAGCATTAAAGAATTAAAATGTATCATCGAGGCTATTTTTATTACATAAATAACATTCATTATGTTTATGCTTCACTGAATATTCCATCATACATACTCAATACCTTAAAAGTAACAAAATCTAGAAACGTGAATCAAGCTTTATTCACTTAACATCTTAATAATTTTCATCTGTTGAACTTAGCAGAAATGTAACAGATGATAAATATTAAAACCATTTATTATTATAACCTTACATCTCATACAATAGTAATCAACTATAAAAAGTTTGTAATGAAACATTTTACCTGTATGGTAAAACATTGAGATGAACTCTTCACATATGTCTTTGTTTCATTAATCAATATTAATATTCATGGTTTTTAAAAAGTTTTTACAAAATTATTCTTTTTAAAACTTACTGAATAATTTTAATTGTGTTTTAAGTAATGATACTTGTACTCATCATCATTTTCAGAATCTATTTATCTTTTTTCTTTGTAACTTTTAGGTTCAGAGTGACTGAAGAGGTAATCAGAAAACAGCAAAAGTGACACCATCGTTATTAAATAAATAAAGGCTTAAAGCTTTTAACAACCAGTTGTTACTGTTTTTCCCCCACCAAATATATATATCATCATAATATTTGAGAAGACTCTAGCACTAAGAAAATTTAACTCTCCTTCATTAGGAGTCATCTGGTAAATAAAAAAAAATATGTATATGTATATATATATATATATTACTTCTGACAACAGAATTAACTTTTACATTTTAGTTACATGTACCTGCTAATTGCCTCAATTCCAAAACTGTTGGTACAATAGGTGGGTTACGAGTCTGTAAGAAGAAGACCACCAACCAGATGAAAGCATAGTTACTAAGATTGTCTCCAGTACCAATTAATTCAAACATTTTGCTCCAGTAAAGGAGTGTCATGGTCAAAGACTGTACTCGGGGATCCAGGTCACAGTATAGAGCCAAGAGACGGCTGTTCTGGACATCTAAGCTGCACAGAAAGGAAAAGTTTTTTACAAACTTTAATAAGTTATAACTCTTTAAAAATTCAAGTTTTTAATTTCCTGGTCAGTCAAGTAAAAATCATGTTTACTGTTTATATGAATAAAGATTCTGTTTATTTGTACAATTGTGTGTTTGTATATCCTTTCTGTCAATGTTCATAACATTTTCAAAATCTGTATTTTTCAGATACTTAATACTTTTCTGCCAGATACTGATGTACTTGAATACCACAAATGACCATAATTAGTATAAATACTTACCTTGCACTACAAGAAAGGTCACAGTTTAAACCAAGGCCAAAGTGTAAGAAATGAACAATAGGGTGATGTTCGCTAGGTACAAAAATCACATTTCTACATCGTGGAATATTTCTAATCACTTGAACAATGAACTTTATCATCATATCTTTAGGCAGATCAAGCAGTGCTCCAAGGGGGACTAAACCATCTCTGATTTCATATATTGACGGAATATCATCATCATCCATTGTCATAGGCATACATGGAAAAAAATCCTAGATGAAGAAAAAAACAGCAAATTATAGAAAACTTTATTCTACATTTAAACTTTATCAAAGTAAAACTGGCAGTAGATCCTTATTCAAAAGTTTTGTGCTAGGTGAAAATTTAAATTTTTTTTATTCATGAAATATACCTTCAAAAATAGCTTTAAAGACCATTCTTATCAACAAAACCTGAAAACATAAACCCAAATTATGAGAAAATAATCTGTAAGCTAAAATTCTACTTCTTGAGTTTACAAAAATGCAGCATGATCAGTGTCTTACTTAATATCTTAAGGTGTGATGTAATTCTTAATCAACTGAATAGCTCATGTTTTAGACCTATAAATAAAAGAATTCTATACTTTAACTTTATAACACATGATTTGGCAAGTGAAATATTTATAAGATCAACGAGAATATCCACCAAAAGTTGTTTTTTTATACAAGATCCTTCCTTTTTTCCATCTAAGTATACCTTGAGAGCCATTTTCATTTATTATTATAAAACATAATAAGAATAGCTAGCTTCTAGGATTATTATCATTAAATAGTTTTATTGTTTGATCTATTCATTTTCCATACTTACAAATAGATAACAGTAATTTTATGCCTATAATACGTTTCAACTCAATATATATGTATTTAACAAAAACAGGCAGGAATAGACTACTTTATTGCCTTAAATTGCCAGCAAAATATGTACAAAAATCTCTGTGATGATACATACAATTGCTCAGTAGCTTTAAAACAAATATGTAACAGTAATTACTAAATTATTAACTAGCAAAGGTATATTGCAAGTTTCAGTCTTAAAACATAATTCTATAAACAATGCTCCTTTCCATTCACCTGATGCAAAGAATACATGCAGTGTTAAACATTTTGCTACCAATCTCTTAGCTCAGATTCAACTCTTATTTGAAGCATTACGAGGTTAAATTGAAATTGACACCAAACTTGGGCCATTCAGCTGATTACTTATCCATTTAATCTAAACCTTTATGGGTTCACCTAAGTTTTAAAAAACATGAATGGTTTATATATATTCCAAAATAATTTATTGACGGGTAACGTTTCACTTACCAACCTTCTTCACACCTATATACAGACTATTAAAGATTTGAAAGAGACACTGTAAATAACACAAAGAACATCATGTGGTTTTAAAAATACTATATGGATCAGTGAAGTTGTACAACAATACTTTTAATATGGAAGAGTATATAATTACACTAACATTATAAGAAACTTCTGAACTATATAAAAGTATGATATAATATATAAAATTAATGTCATAAATCCTGTAATCAAATGAAGAAATATAACACTGATAAAATTAACCCTTTCACAACAGGCTGCTATATTTACCCAAACTTGTAACTGCCATGTAATTAAGAAGGTATACAAATATACTATAACTCTGAAATTAAAGCTTCTGAAATTTTACAAGATGTCAGTAAAAATTACTAATCTTTTATGGACAAAAAATAATCTTATGAATTATTCTATTGGTAAGGAAGTGATTGTTTGATGCTATATGGATGGGTCCAAATGTAGGTAGGAATAAGAATCAGTAGTTCTATAACAAACACTAGTAGTAATGTAGTTATTTATAAGAGAGAGCTCAATATCTAGGAATGGTACTTTTTGCTGGAGATTGTGTTTACAAATTAGAGAGCTAAGTTAAAGGTAACTACATTCCTCTTGGAAACAAAGCGAGTCAAAAATATTATCATGAATAACTATGGGTTACTCAAAAAAGATCTGTCCACCAACATTATTTTTAATGATCATCCCCTAACCCTCTTGCTATGGGTAGAGCAAAGTGTGTATGTCACAATCTTTCAGAGTACATTCAAAATTTAATTAAACTACCTTATTATTAATGTATATAAAAAAACTTTGCATAAGAGTGTAGTTAATTCAAATTTTAATGACATAAGTTCTAAGTTCTTAATTTTATAAAGAAGTATTTTAAAAAATCCTGAACCTACTCTAGTATGAGAATTGTGACATTTGTTCTCTAGTCTTCTCTCCTCTCTAATCTATTTACCACCCCTCTCTGAAGTATGGAATTTACTCTTTATAATATAGATATTACTAAAGCAAATTCTAATTTTTATAGCCTTCAATTATATTTGTGTACAGAGTCATAAACTAGAAAAATCAGACCCACTTGCCACACCCACCTGTCACATCCTCTCTATCAGAAATTGACAATACTTTTTTCTGATGTTTTATACTATATTATTTATAACCAATAAAAGGCAAAGTTTTAATCTATCAATCAATGTATTACATTATGTTGTTTTCAGTACAAAGAATTGCCTATTTCACCTTCATTTTGGAAGTTTTTCTTGTTGTGTTTGGATCAAGAAGTTTTTGGAATTATTTTAAGGCCTTATGTCAAGAGTTAGAAAGCAAGTTAAATTATGATAGCTATAGGACATTGCTTGCTTTGTGCATGTTATTATTCTGTGTTCTTAGTTGCATTATGTAAGTAAATAAAAATTATATAGTGTACAAGTACAACTAACATATAAAAAGTGGACTTAAATTTTCCTGCTTTATTGGTTTCTGTGTATGTTTATTTTTAATTTTTCTGAAATATTATATCTTTAATTTAATATTTGTACCTATATACTTTGGGTGTAAAAGGGTTCTAGTAAACCTGAACTCCTGGGTTCCGTACACATGAAGTTGACCCCCCAGGTACCAAATACACAATGCAAAATGCCCCATATGCAAGGGAAGTATTTTGCTTCAAACTTTGTACCATAACAAACTAAACCGCATACAGTTTGCACACAGCTGTCCACAATCAGCTTCTAACAGGTTTCATCAATGACAATAAATTGCACAAAAATAAAGCCATGTGAAAGTACCACATAATTAACCCTTTCACTGTGGGTAGGTCAAAGTGCATGTTACAAACTTTTACAGAGTTACATTCAAAATTTAATTAAACTATTATATCAATATATATGAATAAACTCAGCACCAGAATGAAGATAATAAATCAAAGTTCATTATTATTTAAGTTTTAATTTTATAAGGAAATATTTTCCAATAATTCTCAATCTCACCTAATACGAGATCTGTGACATTTCTTACCTATGTCTTCCCTCTTCTCTAATGTTTTTTACCACTCCTCTGAGAAGTACAAAATTTAATGTAAATTACTCATTTTTTTTTGTTTAATTCTTTCAGCATGGGTTCGGTCCCTGGGACCAACCTTATGACCTTTTTGTGCTTGTTATAGTGTTCATGCTATAACTTTTAAATTAGTAACCAAATGTTAACAAATTTGGCAGATTATCAATAAACATTACAATGCTTTCATACCCAAAAATCTTACAGAGATGAAAGTGTCCCTTTCCTAAAAATCCTGAAAATAATCGAAGCCAAGTAGAGGGGGGGGGGGGGCGCACCCAAAATCCTGCATTTTGATGCATTTTAGTACTTAAAATTCACTTAAACAAGTTA